GAAAGAACCTTTATTCATAATTAAACAACTCATAATCTTAAGATTACGGGTTCAAGTCTTGACTGACCTAGGGCGGGGCTAAATAGTAATCCCCGTGGTGTTACGATGTCTGCCTTGACTTTCAATAAAAAAGAGCTACACCCGAGGTAGGATGAATTTGCTTTTTACATTTATTGTTTGACAATCCACATCTGAACTTACTGGGTGCAGTGAACCTCTATCTGCCCTGGCATACAGCCAGGGTCTATCTGGCCATTTTCCCTGTTTGGCCTGTGGGACCAGGCCGTGGCCTGATCCCACAGGCTGTGTGGTTATTCAGTCCGGACAAGTCCTGTCCGGTACCACTGTCGGTATCAGTCCAGTCCAGTCCAGTCCACTTAGTCCGCTGGGGGTATACCCCAGCTGCAGTCTGTTTTGTGGCTCATTCTTCACTTGCACAGATTGGAGTACATGTGTGTTGAGTCTGCATTGGAGCTGCATTGTCCCTTCCATCTCCATCTCCATCTCCATCTCCCCCATCCTCATCCCTTCGTCTTGATCCTAACGGACCGCCATCCTGGCGGGTCCGTCACACTGGTATCAGAGCAGGCTTTCCTCCCTGCTCCTCTCCCCCACCCACCCCACCAATCAGTTGCCACGCGGCTTGAGCTAAAAAAAAAAATAAAAAAATAAAAAAAAAATCGCTCCTCACTTTTCTTTGGTAATGACACCAGTGCACTCTTTTGATCGTTACTTCTGCAGTGGTGGTCTAAATTTATTGATCTTTAGCTTGTTGGAAAGCTCTCGACGAGCCGTTTTTAACAAACTATATACCGCTAACTTCTGTATGGTAATTGAGGAGGTACAATCTTTCAAAGATCGCAATGTTTTTTGAAGCTCGCAAAACCACCTACGCTCGTTTGTTTCAACGAGCGTTATTATTGCAAACAGTGGCTGATGGTGCGCCTTATCTCGTTGAAAGCGGCTTTCAAAAAACTTTCCAACAAGATCTCTTTTGCCAAATTTCACCCAGCGGGTGAAAAGTTATTGGCAAAAGAGTGTTTGCCCTCTACCTCTCCTCTCTTGATCCGTGACAATCTCCCAAAGTGCCACGTGGCAGCTTGCTGAGGATTTTTTGTGAAGACCCCCCTGGCTAGGGGGCTGCACTACAATGGAACTGGGTGGCTGATCAAGATCTCAGCCAACCCCAGATAATGTGCAGCAGCAGTTCATCACCACCTTGAAAACCCCTTCTCCCAAGCGGTGTGTGAAGGCCAAGATCTTGTGGATCTTGGTGAATTTTTATGCTCTTGGTTACCCAAGAGCTGGGTGTCACCTCTCTCATCACTAATCCACTCTCCCACTCTCTTTTCCCTCTCTCCCCTTCATCATCTGACCTTCTTTTTCTCTCATTACCACTCATCCATCACCTTTTCTCATTTCTCCCCTCTCCACTTTTTTCATTTCTCTCCTCTTCTCCCCACTAATCTCTCATCCCTTTCACTCTTTCTCCATTCACTACCATATTTTTACTCTCTCCTCTCCCAACCTCACTCTCCTTGCTTCTTTTCCCTACTTCTCTCCTCTCTTTCCCATTAATCTCTCATACCTCTCCCTCTTCACTCATCTTCCACCATCTCCTCTCTCTCCACTCACCTTCTTTTACTAATCTCTCCCTCTTTTCTTTACCTTTTCCATAGATTGCTCTCTCCTTCTCTCACCCTCCTCTCCTCCTTTTTTCCCCCAACTACAACCCCGTCATCCCCCTCACCTACCGCTTCAATCTTTCCTCTTTTCCACCCGTTTTTCTCTTTTTTTAATCACTTTTTCATTCCCCCCCCCCCCCCTTTTCAATTTTTTTTTTTTTTTTTTTTTTCTCTCTCTTTTTGCCCAAAAATTTGAATTATTTTATTCCCTACTTCTTTTCTCATCTTTCTGATTTATTTTATTTTTCTTTATTTATTCTG